GGTAAAAAATCTACATAAAAAAAGACTTTCAGTGTATGGTTTACAGCAACTTTATAGGTAAAAAATACTACATAAGAAAAAGCTTTCAGTGTATGGTTTACAGCAACTTTATAGGTAAAAAATCTACATAAGAAAAGCTTTCAGTGTATGGTTTACAGCAACTTTATAGGTTAAAAAGTCTACATAAAAAAGCTTTCAGTGTATGGTTTACAGCAACTTTATAGGTAAAAAATCTACATAAGAAAAGCTTTCAGTGTATGGTTTACAGCAACTTTATAGGTAAAAAATCTACATAAAAAAGCTTTCAATGTATGGTTTACAGCAACTTTATAGGTAAAAAATCTACATAAAAAAAGCTTTCAGTGTATGGTTTACAGCTTATATGCATGTTTTGTAAGTAAAATGTGTACACATATTTTTTTGTTAGTTATTTTTGCTTTTCAGAATTGAAATATTTTTATAGACATTTGATAGTCTGCCCTAAGTTCTCTATTCTAAAACATGAAAGAATTTGTTACTTGGGGAAGTAAATGCTATTTTAACTTTCAAATTACCTACTTGTTTTTATGCCTTTTACTACTGATTGCATAATATTGAGTAATTTTATGTTTTTTCTTGATAAAACACCAACATTTGTGTAAAGAACTGACTAAAAAATTGGATGAATTCACACCCTTCCTATGTAAAATAAGTAGGAGACTTCGGCAGTGGGTTTAATTGTTCACATTCTTACTTGAATTTTTTATATGATGTATATATATTATTTAATCAACAAAGTCATATTCTCACAAGCAGTTTAATAGTTTTGTTAAATGTGTTTAAAAGCCAATGTTGAATCCCGTTAATAATTCTCAAGTTAAGCTTGTAACTTATGCAGAAGTTATTTTCTTTTCTCTCGCACGTACTTGCAACGTATTTTTTATCAATATCTGCACCACAGTAAATGAACTTTCTTGATGTTAATATAAAATGAAATAGTATTTTTGTTGTTCATCAGCATCTTTCAACTGTTTTTCCCCTCTCTTTTTTCGGTGGTTTTCCCACCTTAACCAGAATTGTTATGCTTGTTTCTTTAATAAATAAATAAATAAAAGTAGTATTGTAATTCAGCTTATTTTTTTAAATACAATTGGAAGGTTATAAGTATGCAATAAATGTTCAAATTGAAAGATTGAATTTAAAAACAATTTTTTTAAACAGAATTTATTTTATGTAACATATCGCACATGATGAAGAGTTACAAATCTTTAGAAATTGTGTACCAAGTTTTATTCAAGCATATGTAGCATTTTCACTTCGAAGGAAATTTCTATGAAAGCTTACGAAGCTCGTCTTCAAGTATTAGAAGGCCATCTATTATTATTATTATTACTTCTTTTATTTTCCAATTTTACTAATTTCATTAGTGAAAACCTGAACCTTTAGGAATTTCAGATCACCAGTTCAAACTACTTCATTACTTTTGGTTCATCTGGACTTTTGTTACAGGATTTGACCAAATAAGTTCTGCTGCTTCTGGAAATAGTTCTCTACACAACAAGCAAAACTCGTGTACTCACCTGTGTTCAAGTAAGCAAGGACTGTTGTCAGAATGTTCATGTGGTAGTGCTGGAAGTATGTTTCAGAAGTCACACAACATTAATTCAAGATTGGTTCAAGGTGCTACATTTAGAACATTTGATTCCCCTGGCTGTGTTAGTTGTTTTCGTGCTCCATTGAGAAATGAATGTGGTGCTCATAATTCTTATCATCATCATAATGCTAGAGAATCCAACAAAAGTAATCCAAAAAACGTTGAAGATCCAAATAGGGTATCTGTAAACAGAACCATTGAAAGAACTTGTAATAATTTTCAAGGAGATATAAGTAATGGACACTTTTCTGAACATTGCCAGAATTACAGACAATTATCATTTAGTCATAATCATATTTCATCAAATTCAAATGGAGCCGAAGAAATGGAAGTTGAGCCAGTACGTATTTCACCAAAAAATAATAGTGAATTTACGGTTGGTAGTGAACATTTTAGGAATCATTCAAATTCATCAAAATATTGTATAATGCATAAATTAAAACATGAGCAAGAAAGGATAAAAAAAAACAGTCAGGTTGCTGAACAAGATGCATGTATTCCATCAAGTTTTAAAGAAGCGGTGCTAACTTCTAGGAAGCAAAATGATAGGACTTCAGATTTAAGAAGTGCAGAGCAAGATATCATCAAGAAAGATGAAATTGAAAAAAAAAGTAAGTCCAAATTCTCAAGAATTAAAGAAATACCAGATTTTGAAGATACTTTATCACCCCCGATTGAAGACAAAGAAGTCATTATCAGGTCAAAGCATTCTGAAAAACATTTTCTAAATGCCAGTGGTTTTGGACATTCTTTAGTAAATCCAAATGAATTTCCTGTTAAACAAGAATGCTTTAATCAAAGCTTAAGTAACTTTATAGAAAGGAGAAAAGATGCTTTTGAGGACAAATTACATCCACCTATTCAACCTGAACATCAAAACTTTGGTGTTCCTTTAAGCCATCTGCCATCATCTGCCACAGAACTCAGCTCAACGCCATCTTCATTCATTTCAACAAAAAATAAAGAAAAATATAAACTTCACCAAGAAAAACTTGAATTTATACAAAATTCTACAGATGTCAAGGAAATCAACAAGCCTAAAATTAATATGTGTGATATAACAACTCCAAGGTCATCTATCAACGTCATCAGTAAAGACTACAAATCTTCACGTCAGAACTCTCAGTTTAAATCCTCTGAAATCTCATCTCAACATTCATCCAAGGGTAAAACATTTTGTGAAGGCACTGAAAAATTAAAACCTTCCTATTCCTTATCTCAGAATTCTCTCACCAGAATTGCTAGGATTCAGAGCTGGGTACCCCCTCAGGGGCTAGAAGAACCACTTGATGAAGATAGTAGTTCAGGAGTTAGCATTTTGTCATCTCCTGGTCAACATTACAAAAAGTCTCCAAGGAAAAGTATAATGACATTATCATCTCTAGTAGACCCAAATATAACAGACATTTCTAAAAAAGAAAATAAAGATCCTAACCCTTCATCAAATGTAGAGAAGAATAAGTATATTGTCATTGATCTTGTTGAATCTGAACCAGGTAGTTCAGATGAAGCTGAAAAATATGCTACAGCTGGACATCCCACAGATGTCTCTGTTAACCCTCTGATATGTGAAAGAAATAACAAAACTTCCTTTAAAGCCTCACCTAATAGTCCTGTATTTCAAAATTCATGTGATGAAAAAATTCCTGCCATTAATCTTTGTGAAAACTGTTCAGAATGTGCTGTAGATAACAATGAACTCAACAGTGGCTCAAGATTTAAAGATTTATCATGTAAAATGAACAGTATATCAAAATCTCCTATTTATAGTAATCAAACGTTTGATGTTAGTTCTCCTGTAACAACACAAAACTCACTGACCGCAACAAGTAAACCTGTAATACCTCAAACGGGAATTTCAATAAATTTTCAGAATAGTTGTCACAATTCTCGGGTCAGTTGTCCAAAACCTAACTGTTCAATATCTGTAACTAAAGAAGCTTCTGTAAAAAAGAAAAATGTATCAGATTCTCTTTGCCATATTAGTCCAAGTTCTAGAGTTAGTTCATCATCATCTCTGTTTACAGAAACATTAACAAAAAACACAGAAAAAAACAAGCTGCATTCACAAGATTTTGGAGACAATTTAGAGACTTCAACAAATTATGTACTTAGAACTTCAAACTCTGAAGCATATAATGAATATAAAGATTCAAAATCTGTGTCTAATAATGGTAGAACACAAAATCAGTCAGGAGTGATAGGTAATTTTGCAGGATCATTGAGAGAGGAACTTATGACTTCGTCAGATGACAATTCCATCCCAACAAGCTTGGAAAGTTTAACTCTCAAGACATTAAACACCGTTGATAAACAGAATTTAAATAATCATTCTTCTTTGTTGAAAAGTGATGTTCAAAAAGATGAAGGAATGCTGGAAAAGATAAAATGCAAAAATGGAAGTAGAAAAAAAATAATCCCCAAGAGTATTGAACAGCAGAATGATTCTATAGCTTCTAAACTTTCATCAGAGAATCCTAAAACTGAGTTTCTCCAAGTTTCAAGTCTTCCATCTGATGATATATTACAGGGTAAAAAGGAGAATTCTTATATCTCTGAACTTGTGGTGAGAAGCTGTTCCAGTGATGTAATGATCACTGAAAAGCAATTAAAAACTGTCTCAAAAATGAAATCTGATTATGAAAACAATCAGGCTGTGAAAGAACAAACAAGAGCGACTTCAAGATTATTAAGTGAGAGAGCTGAAACTAATCACATGGAAAAAGGTCAGCAACTGTTAATGACATCTGACCCTCAATTAAGGTATACCGAAGAACAGTCATCTGCATTAGATAATAAATACCTTTCACATCAGCTCGGTTTGAAGGAAAGTGTCGGAGACAACACTTCCTTTGCCATGCATGAAGTGGAATTAGAGAGTGTTGACCAAAATTTAAAAACTCCTATTTCTAAACAGCGGCCACCCCTACCACCTAGACATCCTGACATCTCTTCACCACGTCTGTTATTGGCACAAGAACGTTCACTGCAGCCATCTCTAACAACTCCTGTTAAAGACCAAAACTTTGATGATGATTTTCGTTCTCCTAGAAGAAAAAAGTAAGTATCAATATCAAACTGTCAGTTAGTAGGTCTTTAAACCTGTAATTATTCAAGTAATCCGTTGATCTGTTTCTTTTACTCTTGTTCTTGGAATGGCCAAAAATATTCTAATGTCAAGCTTCCTTTACCGTAGAACTGTGCTCACGTTGTGGAAAGGAAATTTAACGAATGTCTCTAAAAAATTTCTTTACATCGCCAAAATAGTAAATAAATTATGTACATTTAAAGCACAAATTAGGAGATGTAAGGTTATCAGATAGAGCATGACTGCACATGGCAGTGTGATTGTAACAGTGTGGCAAGGCTCTAAAAGTGCTTTTAATATTACATAGTTAACTCTGTATATAAATATATATAGATAATAATTCCATTTAACTTTTGTTTGTAATATGTTCAACTCAGCCAGTGTGTTTTCATACTGCATTGACTTTTGGCAGATAAAAGATCTAAATTGATAATTTAAATCTGTGAAGTACAAATTAAGAAGAAAACCTTCATTCTGTTATAATTTGTTCTTGTTAAGTTGATATTTTATGAAGATAACAATATAAAATACCGTATTAAGTGTTTATAGATCTTTCGCTATATTAAAAGTTTCTTATATCTTATAAAGATCATTACATAACTTATTTTTTTCAGTCAAATTCCTAAACGTCGTTTGATTAGTTCGGTACCTCCTCTGGATCATCCATTACCAGAACCAGAGTTTACTTATCACTGTGAAGATTCTTTGGATTATGCGGTAAAAACTGTGCATTTTACTAATCGGAGTTTTCATATTTACGTGGCATACAAACTATTTCCATGTTTTTTAAGCAGAAAATGAATTTTGTTTCAACACATGTTTGTGACAAGTAAGCATGTGATTAAGATAGCTGAGCCTGTGTATCAGTTATACTAAAATTTGTTTTCTACGTTAATGTTCTTTAATAGCTAATATTTTGTGTCTCAACGAGCGAGCTTTTATTGAGTAGATGACAAATTAAGGTTCTGTGTTAATATTGTTTTGTATTAAAAGTAAATTGAAGAACAGATGTTATTTTAAAAATTTTAATAATTGGGTGGAAATTATATATTTGTTTTTATGTAGGAAAAGGTGAATTTTAAATGGTTGTTGAAAATCTAACACCAAATGCATGCATAATGTTTTTTGTTGTTGTTGATACTTTGGAAAGTAAGATAAAATCAAGAGTGTCGTGTATTGAAATTTTTCTTACTGGTTACTCATCGTGCTTGAACTAATTCGTAACTGATTAACTGGTTTTACTTAAAATGTACAAAGCTTAAGAACTGTCAGTGTCATATTGTGGAACTAACACAGAATACAGAATTAATCAAATCTGTATTTTCCTTTGAGTTTAGCTTCGATTATTCACTCATATATTAAAAGGCAAATAGATTATTAAGTCAGTCCTATAATTCAGAACAAAATATATATGAAATAATTCAGACAAGCTGACATATTAATAGTACCCACTCGGCTCATATGTTTGGATTCAGACAAAAATCAAATCCTTATGTATATTGTTTTTCATATTTCCATGTGTGCTGCAAAGCATCTAGAGATCTAAACTTTGATATTAATTATATGCCACATGTGGTATGATCAAGCGAGAGAGCTTTGACTACAATCAAATTTCAACACATGACATGTACATCAGTATAAATAAATCTAGATATAAAATAAAACAAGAAACAACAGCTTTGAGTAGTGGTTAGGAAAAATGTGAACTGGTTAGGCATTGAATTGGACCATAACTGGTTATACAATTAGTCATAACTACTTGATAAAGTTGTAAATTATTATGTATCAAGAAAACCAGCAGGAGAAAACCACACAAAACTCATCCACATATAAAATACCTTGCATCATTTATTATGAAATTTACAAATTAAACCCCTTTTAAAAAATTTCTTGACTGAAATCCTGAAAGTGTTGGATAAGTGGAGCAGAATGAAATACTTATCAAAGCTTTACTTAGATGCTTGTTAATTGACGAGGAAAACTATTAGTTGGTGCTTTGTCATATTTGGTATATTTTGATATTGGAAATTTACAAGTATCTGATCTTATACATTTTAGGAGATGGAAGAAAGATTTTTTGAGGTGATTTTTTTTAGAATTCATTTGAAATTTCAGCTAAATCCATTATTTTATAAATAATCACTGGCTGTGTATTTACAAACCCCACTTAGTATGATTAAAATATTGTTGTTCTTTATAAAATCTATTTTGATTTACTATAGGCTTTTTTGGAAGAGTTGATCAACTTTAAGACTCTGCATGAAAAATTGGCCGAGAATATCAACAAAGCCGTTTCTAAAACCTATTCAGATAAAGGAAATTCTTCTGGTCCTCAGAATACCATAGCCGATTTTCATATTGACTCCATAACCTCTGCATCCATGACTACAGATTCAGTAAATGGCCACCATGATGAAATAAATAAAACCAATATTAGTTTTGAAGAACAGCCTAGATCAAACTGTGAAGATAAAGAAAAACTCCATGTATCTAAGACTGAGCAAAATGCCAGACAGGTAAGTTTTGATGATTTTATTATATGTTCTCATTACAGCTGAGCAATTAATGGCATTTACTAATTAATAAATCAGGCTTATTAACCAACTACATTTAAGTAATCAGTGAATACACTCCAACCCCTCAAGCAAAAGAAAAAATAATGAGGTGTGCTAGTTTCCTTAACTTTTCAGTCACTGCATTATTCTTACACAGTATTAATCTTTCTGATTTCATTCTCCCTGTATTGGTTTCTTTGAAGCACTTTTAAAATTACCCTTTTTTCAAATGATATACTTTTTCTAAAGGTTACCATTTGAATGTTTTGTGAAAAAATGTACTTTTCTGTGTAAAAAATATTTTACCACAGATTTTTAAAGAGATAGTCTGGGGATTCCTTTCTTAGTGAGTGAATTGCTAATGTTGAATAAATACCACCACATGGTCATCTTTATCTTTAAATATGTAGCAATCCCCCACTATCTACAAATCGATTGGATAATTAAATAACGAAACAAAATGTTTAACTGACACTAATAGGAGTAATAATGTTTTTACTAAAATATTTCATGGTTACACTGAGAAATAATTAATTAGCCAATCATTCAGTTTGTGTACATTATTTGAATGGGATAATATTAACTAAAGATTTGAATCATCAGAATATTTCGTAGTTGCTTACCGTACTCAATAGACAGTAGACTAAACTTATCAGGTTTGATGACAATTTTATTTGGTGAACATAATATAAAAAACTTCATATTTACAAACACTCCAACTCAATAAAACCATAGTATATGTATTAAAAAAAGTAAAAATACAGTAATTTTAAATAAAAAAACAAACATTAATAAAATATCTTTACTAATCTTTAAGCATTATCCAGTCTTGTGACTTCTTTGTTTTATACTGTATGTTCCTGTGTCTAGGTAAATTACTCATAATGATGACAAAACCTTCTCCAAACATTTTATATTTGATACCGTATTAAACCTGTAATAAAGTTTTATTTTTTTACCCATTCTGGCTGCCTTTAAACTGTGTAAGTTTACCTTATCTTAAGTTATTTGATGTCTTTTCATTGAAGAAACTTTTATAATAGTCTAATTCTTGCTCTATCCAGTCATAATTAAACTTTCGATATAGCTGTTTTCAAGTCTATGTTTCATCAGTGAACGACCAAACTATTTGATATGGCACCATAAGAAGCTTTCAGTCAAGGCCTGTTTCAAAAATCAAGAAATGGACAAGATATTCTAAAAGGATGATAGGTTGTTATGATAAAATATCTGTTTTTGGGATGTGTAAAAAAATATAAAAAACAAATTGACAAGCAGATTCTAGGATAAAATATCTGTTTTTGGGATGTGTAAAAAAATATAAAAAACCAATTGACAAGCAGATTCTTTTATTTACAGGCAAAACTCTCTGAAGTTCTGCAGAAGTAAAAATATGAACCTTTTTTATTTTTCTTCGTGAATTACACTAAATAAGTGTCAGAAAAGGGCTAAATATCGATTCTGAAATATTTTCGAGTTAAATCTGTTCAAATATTTAGAATTAACATGTAAAATTGGCTTCAAAATTTTTGTCTCAAAAAATTTTATTAAGTGGCAAAAAATGTGTAAAGCCAAAGGATGCCTTGTCTTCAGACTTCAAGCACAGTAATTTGGAATTAAGTTACATTTTTAATCCTGAACTGTCTACGTGAAAATGTATCATACATCCAATACAACTTCACTGTGTAAGACTTAGAAACTGTAAAATATTATTAATTTAGGAGTCGCCTGTTGCAGCTCTGTACACTTTTCCAGGCTTGTTATTCTACACAATTAAGACTACAGAAAAAGACCACAAGACTAAAAATAATTTTTAATACCTAAGCCTGATGAAGGGCATACACCAGAAATATAGCAAATAAAACAAGTTTTCATTGTATATGTATGTGTTGCAACTTTTTTTTTCCAATATATTTTTTTTCATACAATCCAGTTTTGTTTTACGTTTTAATAAGCATGTTTACAACAGTGTTGGGGCCTTAAGTATTGTATCTATAATTATGCAAGTACTCAAAGCTTTGCATTCAACCAAGAGAAATTAATAGTCACAACTCATCTATTAGGCAAATGTGTAAAAACTTTGTGTTTTTGGATATTCTTCATGTAGCCTAAATTTTAAGTCAAACAGTATAAAAATTAGAATGACATCAATTTGTTTTGTAGCATAAAACTTTAGTAAAAGTTTAGTGATGTCTGCAAACTGAAAGTGGGTTTTTCATCATCAAATTGTATCATACGTTGTTTTAAAACCATTACGGAATGAGTAACAATGAAAATAGAAGAGCTATTTAGATAATATATTATTATTGTGTTAATAAGTAACAGCATTGTTTAACTTCTCCACACTAGCTGCAGTAATGGTTCATTTATTGTGTGATACCAGTTAACTTTTAAAAAAATATTTTTAGAGTGGTTTACATGAAAAAGATACTTCCACTATAATAATATAATATTTTGGATTAACCAAGTTCAACCATATAGTTTTAAAATAATCTTAATAAGTCAAAATAATAAGTTAAAATAATGTTAATTTTTATGATGTAAATGGTTAGCTCAATCAGGTTATAATCCAGTGACTTTTTTTGTTTATGATTGATATGAAATTAAAAACAAACATTTCAGATTTGAAATTAAAATTCAATAAGTTATAATTATTTATAGCCACATTTAGAAAAACATTTATAGCAGTGGTTAACAGGATGTCTCTTTTTCAAAAGTTTTAAAAATGCAACAAATACAATAATACCACTTAGATTTCCATTTATTTTAGACATCAACAATACAAAAACAATGTTTTTCATGATAATTGTAACTTCTAAACAATGTAATATCAATTTTGAGTATCAAAGATTTATGAAGTTTTCAACACAGCTGGAATTTACACAATCCAGTTAAGACCTCAGCAAATTACTGATTATTTCTACACTAATACAACATTATGAAAGTCCATTAAACATTGTCATGGTAAAGTTTTACACAGTGGCTTTCCCAGACACTCTAACAATGTGTATAGGCTTTAAAAATTTGTTTTCTTCAAAGTTAGTATTGTTTAGGATACTTGCAGTTTTTATAATATGATCATTAATAGCCCAGTCAAATACAATGCCTTGCAAAAGTATTCACCCTACCAATAATGTCACATTTTGATGAAATACAAATAATGTAAATAATTTTTTTTAATGAACTTGTTTTTATTCAAACCTCTGATGACCAAACTTAACACTGTTATGTGTGAAAGAGGTTGAATGTCAGCAAAACCTGCAGGGAAAATATATAAATTTAAATTTGCTGATTGCATAAGTATTCAGCTGCCCTAAGTTAGTATTTGGTGGAATCACCTTTGGCAGCAATTACTGCTGTAAGTCTTTTTTTGGATAGGTCTTTACCAGCTTTGTATAATGAGATGGTGTATTTTCTGTCTATTCTTCCTGGCACAGTTGTTCCAATCCTGACAGTTCATTGGAGATTGTTGATGGACTGAAATTTTCAAGTCTCGCCATCACTTTTCTGTTGGATTCAAGGTCAGGACTTTGACTAGACCATTCCAGGACATTGACTTTCTTCTTTTGAAACCATCCCAGTGTGGCTTTGGCCTTGTGCTTTGAGTCATTGTCTTGCTGAAATGTGAATTTTTGACCCGGTTTTAGATTGTTGGCTGACCTAAGGATTTGCCTATAATTTGCATCATCCATTTATTTTCCCCTCAGTTCTGACAAGCATCCCAGTCCTTGCTGATGAGAAGAGTCCTCATATGGAGGCTGCTACCACCATCATGCTTGTTGACTGGGTGATGTGCTATATTGGGTTTGTGCCAGATGTAACACTTTGAATTTAGACCAAAAACCTCAGTTTTTGTGTTATCTGACCAAAACACATTCTGCCAAATGTCTGCAGTATCATTTACGTGCTTTGTCACAAACTTTAAGATGATTCTTTTTCAGTAATGGCTTCTTTCTTACCACTCACCCATACAGGCCATATTTGTGTAGGGACTGGGATATGTTGATGTATGAACACTGACATCTATTTCAGATGTGGAACTTTGCAAATCTTTCAAAGTCACTGTTGACTTCACAGTGGCATCTCTAACCAGTTTCCTGCTTTCCCAGCTGCTTAGTGTGGATCTCTAACCAGTTTCCTGCTCTCCCAGCTGCTTAGTGTGGAATGGCATCTCTAACCAGTTTCCTGCTCTCCCAGCTGCTTAGTGTGGAATGGCATCTCTAACCAGTTTCCTGCTCTCCCAGCTGCTTAGTGTGGAAGAGCAGCCTGATCTTGGTATTGACTGGGTGGCATGAAGCACATTCCAGTTCTTAATGATGGACTTCACTGTACTCAAAAGGATGATCATTGGTTTTTAAATTTTCTTGTACTCTTCTTCTGCTCTGTGCTTCTCTACCACTTTATCCCTGACTTGTTTGGAAAGCTCCTTGTTCTTCATGGTTGGATGATCATTGGTTTTTAAATTTTCTTGTACTCTTCTTCTGCTCTGTGCTTCTCTACCACTTTATCCCTGAGTTGTTTGGAAAGCTCCTTGTTCTTCATGGTTGGTTTGTCGTATCACTATGTGAGTTGTGGCTTGAACAGATGCATTTACTCTAAGTCAAGTTAAACCACCTTGATTACACACAGATAGACAGAGACCATAACACAAATTTTGTGACTTTTCAAGCTAATCTTTTGCACCTGGACTGATTTAGGGTTGCTGTAGCAAAGGGGTTAAATACTTAAACAATTGAGAATATTCTAATTTTTTTTATCTTTCTCAGTTTGGAGTTGATTGTGTAGATTCTAAATATAAAGTCCCATTTGAAAGTTTCATGATTGCAACAAAATGTGGAAACTTTGTAGGGTGTGTGTGTGTGTGAATACTTTTGCAAGGCAAAGTAAAAACTGACATGAGATGTTTCTTTTTGACACTGTATGCTGGAGTAAGGATGCCTGATTATTTTTTTATTAATTTCTGAAAAAAAAAACTGAATGGTGGTGCTAGGCCTGTCCCCTAGGTCTGCACCTGCTTATACAACATCAAATAATACATTTATGCAGTTATAAGTCAGAAATATAACACAATGTAAAAGAGGTAATTTTACACTTTATTGCTTAAGTACTGCTGCTAGCCTCTTGTCAGCAGTTCAAAATTAGTGACAATGACTAATAGCCTGAGTAACTTTGCAACAACAAAGATAGGGCAAACAAATTTATTGGCAATGGGTATTAAACCTGAGACCCTCAAATCATAAGACCCCCCCCCCCCATCCAATTACAGTAATAATGGAAAGGTTATTTTAATAACAATAATCTTTATGATTACTTTTGTTAATCAATTATTGAATTAATCTAAAACAGGAATAATTGGAATAATTAGTTTCAATTAGTTGATTATTTTATTTAACAATAATTTCAGTTACTTTATTGTTAAAACAATCTGAAACAGGAATAATTGGAACAGCTAATTTTAATTAGTTGATTATCTTTGTGACATTAATTGATTCAATAATAATTTTGATTGATTAGTTTACAAGACACTAATTGATGTGATCACCTCTCATGGTTAATTGATTTTATTGATTAATCAATTAAATTGCCCAGTTCTATTTCTGATACTTAAGAATATTTATTCTGTACTATGTAAGCCAGATAACACATGTTTTATAGATCTATTTCACCTTGTTGAATGACCAAAATAAAACTTATCTTACTCTTAAACGTTCAAGTTAAATATGTTTATTCTGTACTATGTAAGCCAGATAACACATGTTTTATAGATCTATTTCACCTTGTTGAATGACCAAAATAAAACTTATCTTACTCTTAAACGTTCAAGTTAAATATGTTTATTAATTAATGAAAACTTTTTTTGAATTAATTGCCATCAGTCAAGTTATATGTTTTTTTCCGTTCTTCTGTAATTTTAATGAATTTATTCATGTTGTTAAATCATTAATAATTGATTCTTGATATTTATTCCTAGGAACACCATGTCCCGGATGCTTTAATCAAAGATGTTCTCACTGAGACGGAGTCTGATCCATTATTTGAAGAAATTATATTCATGTTATGTGGTAAGATGAATTTCCTTTTATCAAATATTTATTCTACATTCAAGTTATAAAATTCACAAAAGTATTTTCCCTTTTTTTTAGGTTTTTCTTTGTAAAATTAACATGTTATATAACAAGTAAGCTATTATACACAAGTTAATAATGATTTGAATTGTGTCATTAATCATCCTATGTGTTTTCATAGCTGGTAAGGTATGATATTTTATTGTGTAATAATACTTAGCAGCAAGGTTTATAATAGTTGTAATGATATTGTTCTCTATTGGCAGCATTACAAATTCTCCTCGCTTGTTGTATACAGTGCTAATAAGGACTTTCACTTAATACCAGAGCTCATTAGGTCAGCTGGGCTATAACAAAGAAATCCTTAGCTGAAAAAAATATTTGTCAACCTTTTTATGAATGATATAAATTATGTTTATTTTTATAAATCCAGAATCTTGCTCTTTAACTGTTGCCCCCCAGTGGCACAGCGGTATGTCTGCGGACTTACAACGCTAAAAACCGGGTTTCGATACCCATGGTGGGCAGGGCACAGATAGCCCATTGTGTAGCTTTGTGCTTAACTTCTAACAAACAAACTTTAACTGTTTCAGCACGGGCTCGGTCCCTAGGACCGACCTCGTAACCATTTTGTGCTTGTTATAGTTTTCATGCTATAACTTTTAAATTATTAAGCAAATGTTAATGAAATTTGGCAGATTATCAATAAACATTACAATGCTTTCATTTGCAAAATATTTTTTTTTTTATTAAGTCTTAAGGTTTTTAAAGCAATGTTTTTCTCATGTCTATTTTTTATTTTTGCATGTTGCCTCTTTATCATGCAAAGTAATATTCCTTTTAAGATTTAAAATACTTTTATGCATCAGAAAATTTTGAAATTTCACAATCGAAATATTTATAATGTTGAGATAGTTATCAAATGTTTCTTAAGAAAAA